AGTTACATTTTTCTCAATTTGCGTTCGAAGTCACATGTGTTTTTGCTTGGTTATTTGTGGGTGTGCACCATAAAAGTTGCATGTTCCTTGCAGATTAAATTAATTCGATATTACTATTGATTGCAGTACTTTTCCGGCTTGGAAGAAGCAGTTGTTCGTAACATTAAGGCTTGCAAAGAGTTTGCCCAATCGGTTCGGTCAGCCTATGGACCCAATGGGATGAATAAAATGGTTATTAATCATATCGAAAAGCAGTTTGTGACTAGTGATGCGGCAACGATTATTCGGGAACTGGATGTTGAGCACCCAGCTGCTAGACTGATGATTTTAGCTAGTCAAATGCAGGACTCGGAAGTTGGAGATGGGACCAATTTTGTCATTATTTTGGCAGGCGCTTTACTAGGTAAGGCCCATCCACCAACTAGTCGTTAATAATTTAATATAGAAGAAATAAAGCAAGATTTATGCATAAGTACTTGAAGAAATAAGATCAATTGGAAGGCACTTTGCATCTAGAAATAATAAAGCTTTACACAGCACTGATGCAAGCTTCATTATTATCCTAATTAGTGGATAAACCATTTTTTTTCTCCTAAACCTTAATAAATTTCCGAACTGCTTATAACCATTTCAATATTTATTAAGTATGTAAGTAGAGTTCCAATAACAGACAGGGTTTAGTTCGCTCTTCTAGTCTAATTTTCCTTGCAATCTTTCAATCCAGTTTTCATCATCAAATTCGTTTCTTGTGCAATGATGGACATTAATTAAATTAAAACTATTAATTTTTTTCTGAATCTTCAAGAAGAAACTAATTTGGTTTGATTTATTGCAGATGCTTCAGAAGAACTGATTCGTCTAGGTGTAACTCCGACTGAAATAGCGGAAGGTTTCGAGAAAGGTCTTGAAAGAGCTTTGGAAATATTGAAATCTTTGGTTTGCTACACTGTTAAAGACAACCGCGATGTAAAAGAAGTGACGCAAGCTATTAAGACTTCGATCGAATCGAAACAGTATGGAAATGAGGATTTTCTCGCCGACTTAGTCGCTAGAGCGTGCATCTCAATATTGCCTGAGCAAACCAGCTTTAACGTGGATAATATGCGAGTTTGCAAGATTTTGGGATCTGGACTTTTAAGTTCTCAGGTATATGTATATGAATAAGTTTCCAATAGAGAAAGTTTGCTGATTTCAAGGAACTTGATTGCAGGTCGTGCAAGGGATGGTTATTAAGGGGCACGTTGAGGGCGAAATCACGCAAGCTGAAGATGCCAAGATAGCAATTTACAGTTGCCCAGTTGATATCCTGCAAACTGAAACTAAAGGTAAAACAACTTGGAATTGCAAAGCTTGTTTTTTAAATGTGAGCTTTTTCAGGTACGGTGTTGATCAAAACTGCGGATGAATTGATGAACTTCAGCCGGGGCGAGGAGAATCTGTTGGAGTTGCAAATTAAGTCAATTGCCGATGCGGGAACCAAAGTCATTGTGGCTGGCGACAAATTTGGCGATATGGCTCTGCACTACGTACACAAATACAACATGATGGCCGTCAAGTTCAATTCGCAATGCGATTTGAGACAGTTGAGCAAAACTGTAAATGGCACTGTGCTGCCCAAACTGTCCACCCCATCCCCTCAGGAATTGGGCTATTGCGATTTGGTCTGCGTAGAAGAATTGGGAGACACCCCGATTGTGGCATTCAGACAAAAGGGAAAAGAGTCTAGAATATCAACCATACTGATTAGAGGAGCCAGTGATAATTACATGGACGATATCGAGCGAGCAATCGATGATGGAGTCAATACGTTCAAGGTACGTCAGTTAGCCTATGCGGAGGTTGAATCATTTTTCACCAACTCGTCTTTAATTTTTTTAGGGGCTTTCAAGAGATCCACGATTTGTTCCTGGTGCAGGCGCCACCGAAGCCGAACTGGCTGTTCGACTTCTCGAGTTTGCAGACACGCTTCCTGGTTTGGAGCAGTATGCCATTCGAAAGTTCGCCACTGCTTTGGAGGCTTTCCCCAAGGCTTTGGCTGATAATAGCGGCTTGAGGTCTCAAGTGATTCTGGAGAAAATCCTTGACGCTCACCTGGTAAACTTTTTTTTCAAAATCGTAGCTACAGTACTTCTTTTTAGGGCTGTGTCTAAGGTTTTTTAATGTTGTTTCAGAATGGACAGAAAAATGTCGGTGTTGACATCACAGCGGAAAATTCGCTGGTAGATGTGGTAGAAAAGCAAATTTTCGATCTCTACCAAGCGAAATTCTGGGGTCTTAAGTATGCAGTGGATGCAGCCTCTACCATTCTGCGGGTGGACCAAATCATCATGGCTAAGCGGGCAGGAGGGCCGAAAGCGCGCGGGCCCCAAGGCAGCGATGATGAATCTTAGTTTCGCCTTTCTATTTAGATTGGAATTGCTGCATTTTTTTTTTCAAGCAGCAGGTCCAATGTAATTTTACACGTTAATTCTTTTAATTCATTAACTCGCTAGGACTTGATTAACCTATTTCTAATTAAACAGCTTTGAAAATACAAGTTTCAAGTATTTTTTTCCCTTTTCCTAAAAAAAACCAAAGCTGATTCGAACATTTATCGTGGTTGTGCTGTGGAGGGCTGACTCAATTCCGTAACTAAGTAGAAAGCAGAGGAAAGAAACAGTTCTGGCAACCTTCTCCAATGTGTTGAGATAATACAAGCAGTTCAGATAACTGATTCAAAACGTGGTCTATCTATTTATAGATTCGAGCCCGTGGCTCTTTTAAAGTAGTTAATTTAATGCTTTCTAAATGATATTTACTAGGGATAAGAGACTACAAAGGCCTTGGTTTCCTTAAAACTTCACCCAGTTGTGTGGATAAAGTAATTCCGAAAGGTTCACCTCGCCGATCGCCAGGTAATTTGCTTTATTTTCGGCTTATTAATTGTTTAAACAAGATTTTCATCGCTAGATTGGATTACAACTGAGTTTAATTGGTGCGTATTCGATTATTTACTACCGCGCTTTCCCTCTGCAATCCATGTATGTAACGTGCGAACCAATTAAGACTGCATGTGCTTTTAAAACTCGTAGTGTTTACGCATGAAACTGCATTTGAAAGCCTACTTGCACTTGTACTGGAGCGTTTCACGGCGCAATTTGCATATCTACTGAAGCCTTAAGTTCCTTTGCCCAACTAAACAGACGAGAAAAACAAAAAATGCTCAAATAAAAAATTCAATGCGTTTTTCCGGTTTTATAGGTTAATTTTCGAAATTATTTTAGGCCTTATAACCGAAACAGGAACGCGTTTTACTTAAAATTTCTTGTGTTAATTTTTTGGAATTTTCGGGCTTTTAAATACGGTTTGATTAATCAACATCAACGTGTACAGGTCTTGGGGTTCTAAATTATAAAAGCAATTAACTAGTTTTTTTTAAGCTACTGTCCAACTAAAAAACAGGTAATGGCGAATGCTCTTAATAAATAGTTTAAAAACTTAAACAAAATCAATCATAAAATTGTTGGTTTTATTTAAAGCTCTTTCCTTGAACTTTGCCATTATTTTAATACGAGAGTCTGAATGAATGTCTGCTGTAGAGTTTGGGTCTCAGGATTTTAATTCCATTTGAAGCAAAACTGAAAATTATTATTAATGTTCATTATTCATTAGCGGAAATCTGACTCTATAATTCCGGCAGTTTTCTGATTTTTTCAAAATCAAAGTAAAAATAGATAAAATATTGAAGCCTCTTATTCCCGATTTTTGCCATTCTTTTAATGTGGAACCATAAAACCTAGGAGGAGCTAATTAAGTGTTTTAAAGCCTTATTAAATAAGAGGTCTTTTGTTGAACTCCCGGTTACTCGGAATTAAGTGCCTCTGATTAATCACTGATTTTAACTTGACAAGTTCCTAGACTTCAGAATGTTGTCTTGGAGCTAATTCTATTGCACTTTTTCTATATAGCATGAAAAATTGTCAATTCCAGTGTTTAAATGCACTGTGGGAAAACCATGGCAAAAGTTATAATCGTCGGAGCTGGCGCTTCTGGAATTGCTTGTGCTACAAGACTGATCGCAAAAGGTTTCGATGTGACGATTTTGGAAGCTGAAAACCGAATTGGCGGAAGAATTCACTCAGTTCATTTTGGAGGCACTAATGTGGACTTGGGGGCGCAATGGGTAAGATCCATTCGCAAAATTAACAATTCACGCACGGGATAACGTTGGAATATTGCAGATTCACGGGGAAAAAGGAAATGTCGTCTACGAAATGGTTGAAAACCTAAACCTAACTGATTACCCGAAAAGTTCCACGTACTCAAACATGTCGTTTTTTACTTCGACTGGAACAATGTTGGATACAAAATTGACTAATCAGCTTTATGAGATTGTGGAAAACATTCTGGAAGAGTCTGATTTGGCATCGGAACATAAAGGAACCCTAAGAGAATATTTCGATTCAAAGTAAGCGAACGGTTTTAACAAACTACAATTTTGGCCGATGGAAACAAGAAATTCGCTCGCGTTTCATTGTCGAGCAGCTGAAAAATTAGCACAAAACAGGTTGCTAAAACTACAACTTAAATCATAATTTTAAAAGTTCTTTGCTTGATTGTTACCTGTGCTATTAGCGGAAATTAGTGCATTTCTCAATTATTTTGATCGCATTAGCAAAGCTTTGGGAACTAGATTGAACAACCATTTTTTAAAGTTTCGAATTTTTCTTTTCTGATGAGCTTGACGATTTTTTCATTTCCGTTTATTTACGTTATTTAGGTAACAATTATGAAAAAACCGTCACTTTGCAAATTGCAAAAGTTCTAACTTCGTTTTAAGCGAATATTTTGCTTTACATGCAAAATTATTTTTCTGGTCTCCACCTATTTTTTAAATGGTAAAAATTAGAGTATAATTTTACTACATGATTTCCACTTTTAAATTAGACTCATTTAGATTGAAAATTGCTGCCAGTTAGAAATAGTTAAACAACAGAAAGATAATGTAAAAAATTTTATCAGAAATTTTGCAATAAAATGTTGGATTTCACCTGCAAGGGACGATTTGTTCATAAATATTTCCTATGGAACATACAAAAGTAGCAGGTGAAATGAAACTGCAATTTAAAACAATGAATCGTTTAGAGTGAGTTAAAATTCTCCGAAACCAACCGAAATTTATGTATATTTACAAAAGAATTTAAAGAACATTTAAAAGCCAACTCAGCTGAACTTGAAGCACTTAAACAGCAATTGGAAACACATTTTTTAGGTACACTAAACAAGTCAATGCAAAACTCGGCAACGAAAATAAAGAGCTGCTAAATGCTGCGGAGTTCATCAGGAACTGGTTTAGTAAGTTCTATTTGTGCATGGATCCTGCCGAGGATTTAGCGCAAGTATCAGTTAATAGCCTGGTGAAATACCGGGAATGCGAAGGAAACCATCTAGTCCATTGGAAGACCAATGGATTCGCAAGTTTCTTCAACGTTTTACTCGTAAGTACGTCTTTAATTCATTTTATTTTAGACTTAACAGCGGACTTTAGGAAAAAATACTTTGTAGGAAAACAATCCAAAATCATTCTTAACTGAGCACGTGTTGCTTAATAAGGAAGTCATCAAAATCGTTTGGGACCAAACTGGGGATTCCAAAGACAGGGGAAAAGTGAAACTGTTCTGTGCAGACTCAAGTCGCTTCACTGCCGACCATGTGATATTAACAGTTTCAATAGGAGTTTTGAAAGAAACCTACCAGACCTTATTCAAACCCAGTCTCCCATTGTGCAAAATTAACTGCCTCGAAACCATTCCAATGGGCACCTGCCAAAAAATCATCATCAAATTCCCCAACAAATGGTGGCCGGATGAAGTCAAGGACTTTAGCTTCGTTTGGACAGATGAAGACAAGAAAACCTTGCCCAAAGAATTTCCTTTTGGACCCATCAGGAATGAGAGGTTTGCTTATCAGCGTCAACTACAAACACGTTCCCTATTGTCTAAACGATTCTAGATCTTGGCTGGAAGACATTTTCGGATTTTACACTGTTGATAGCGACCCGAACATTCTTCTCGGCTGGCTAGTAGGATCAATGGTAAAAGAAGTCGAGCTCCTTTCAGACGAGCTCTTAATGAACGCTTCACTGTTTCTACTGAGGAAATTTGCCGGCGAAATTTACAAAATCAGCGAGCCATCTGAAATTATACGGTTCGTGTGATTTACTGGAAAGTTAAGGAATTTTTCTTGCTAGTTAATGGGTTTCTTAGGTCCAAATGGGGCACAAACCCGCATTTTTTGGGAACCTACTCATACGTCGGGGTGGAAATGGAAGCACGTGAAGCCACTCGGGAAGACTTGGCCAAACCTCTTGTAGTGGATGGAAAGGAAGTTGTGCTATTTGCAGGTGAAGCCACGCATTCTTGCTACTTTTCCACTGTTCATGGGGCAGTCGAAAGCGGCTGGAGAGAAGCGGATAGACTGATCGAAAGGTCTTAGTAAGTTTATTGTTTTTATTTGCCATAATTTTACTGGGTATTAAGAATGCGAGAGGTTTTGTAACGAGAGAAAAACTAATTCTGATTTGAACACCGACCTTTTGGAATTTTTTTTTCAGATTGTTCTTCAAGAACAATCAACTCTTCTGCTTCTTCCAGGGCGTCTCCCTAAAAAATTACTGGAAAAACAACCGACTGATCAGCTCGAAAAGAGACATCGCAGCTTGTTCTTTAAGTATCTTCAAGAACAGTCTCTAAATCACTGTAGTTTTGCTACTTAAGACGCAACTAATAAAGTGTCTGAAAGTAACTTAAAGTCCATTTAAATGTCTTTATAATGAAGGTTTAAGACCGACAATCACTTGAGAAACACTCGAATAATGAAGCAAAGAAACAATGGCGGTAGTATTTTAAGTGGCTGCAAGTACAGTTTGTCAATTACCTTGAAATAAATTCGCAATTCAAATTCACGCAAAAAGTGCTTAAGATCGCTTGAAGGCCTTTAAATGCTTCAAAATGCCCGATCGCTAGTGAAAATTACTGGAAAAACAACCGAGCGATCAGCTCGAGAAGAGACATCGCAGCTTGTTGCATACGTATCTTCAAAAGCAGCCCCTAAGTTCCTGTCTGGTCTTCCTACTTGAGACGTAACTAAGTGTCTGAAAGTGACTTAAAGTCCATTTAAAGGGCTTTATAACGAAAGTTTAAGACGGACAATCGATTGAGAAACACCCGAATAATTAAACAAAGAAACATTGGCGATAGTATTTTAGGTGGCTCCAAGTACAGTTTGTCAATTATCTTCAAATAAATTCGCTGCTCAAAATCAAGCAAAAAAGTGCTTAAAGATAACTTGAAGGAGATTAAACATAACCTTTTGTTCTTTTGACCCATCAGATATTTTCTGCGAAGCTGTTTAAACTTTTTGGTTTCCTGCCTTTTTAATGCGTAATGTGTTAGTCTAAACACCCCGGGTCCAAAATGAACAGTTTTTGCTCATCTAGCTTTAGCAGTTAAACATTTGTGATGAACTTAAATAGTAAATAAAATTGAAACTAATGGGGTTTTCGCCTAAAAACCCATTAGTTTCAAGGAATGGCCTCGAAAGTCTATCTCTTTTAGTAAATAAAATTGTCTGTAAGCTCAAGGATGATATGCGGTCGATGATTTTTCCGGAGGTTAAGTACTTTTGACCGTTGTAGACCAATTTTCCCATAAAAATTGAAAAAAGATTATTTCCAGCAAATCCAGACGCCATAAGGTAGTCATAGTTGGAGCTGGAATAGCTGGTCTGGCCGCCGCAACTAAACTGCTCGAGAATAAAATTGACGACTTTCTGCTACTGGAAGCTCAAGAAGAAGCTGGCGGCCGCATCAAAACCGTTCAAATTGGAAACAAACCCATCGATTTGGGGGCACAGTGGATGCATGGCAAAAGCAACCCATTGTACGACTTGGCAAAAGAAAAGCAACTTATTTCAGGTGGGTTCGGCCACGCGAAATCGCGGGCAGTTTCCATCAACTCTCAATGTTTCCAGACGAAATGTCCGAGGAAGGGTTGGGCCTGTACGTGAGAAGCAACGGGAAAATCGTGGATAAATTCATGGTGGACAAAGTGGCCTTTAAAGTGGGCCAGATTCTGGAAGGCTGCTCGAAATTAGTCAGTGAAAATAGTGGCTGCACTGCTTTGGGAACCATTCTTGAGCAGCATTTTTTCCGGTATCTAGAGGAACACGTTCCTGATGAGAGCGAAGCTGAAGTTATGAAGGAGCTTTATGACTGGCATGTGAGGTTTCAAGTCATCGACAACTCCTGCAAGGATTTATCGAAACTGAGCGCGAAAAGGTGGGCTGATTATGTTTGCCTTGATGATGAAGCCCACGCCAATATGAAACATGGGTATCAATCGCTAGTTCAACTCCTTCTGGATGGTCTTCCGGACAACCAGGTGAAGTTCAACACGGAAGTCACTAAAATCAGTTTCTCTCCGCAATCGGAGATCAAACTAGATCTTCTGGCCGGTGGTTCGATAGTGTGCGAGCATTTGATTTTAACGCCCTCCTTAGGGGTGCTCAAGGAGTTCCAGGGGCTTTCCAATGTTCTACCCGAGTCCTTAATGGTAAATATTGCCAATATGGGCTTTGCCAGTATATGCAAAGTGTATTTATTTTACGACCGCAAATGGTGGGGAGACTCCCAGGGTGAGATCTGTTCGTTTAGGGCCTAACCAGGTGTAAATTCTGGCTCTTTTAGGGTTCCAACTGCTCTGGAGCAGCGATCACAATGCGACTTGGCAAAGACACATCACTGGGTTCGATGAAGTTTTCAATCACGAGAACACTTTGATGACCTGGGTGGGTGGAGATTCTGTGCGAGAAGTGGAACGTCTGCCTGCAGAAGAAGTCGGAAAACAGTGTACTGAACTACTGAGGACTTTCCTGCCCAACTATTCCGTGCCGGAACCAATGGAAGTTATTCGGTAAGGCGAGGGAGACGAAACTGACCTGTTCATGCAACCAGAGAACCAAATTTCTTTAGAACCCAGTGGCTTTCCAACCCGTTCATCAAAGGCAGTTATTCCCACATAACTCCCGAATGTGACGATTGCAATGCGGGAATAAACGCCTTAAAACAGCCGGTGCTGGTAGACGGGGTTCCGAGGATTCTTTTGGCTGGGGAGGCAATTCACTCATCGCATTATTCAACCACCCACGGAGCGTACGAATCTGGATTAGACCAAGCGCAAGTTTTATGTGATTTTCTTTTGGAAAACAAGCCTGCTATTTAGTTGCATATTTTTAAGACTGAATGCCTGCGAAGTTTTAAGTTATTAAAACTAGACATATTTATGCCAATGAACACGGAAAACCATTAACCTTTCACTTTTTATGCGCTAAAATGCAATGTTCTATGTTATATTGCGTTCGCATTCACATTTCCAGCGCTCTTAGATATTTTTTCAACAACTAGTATTATTTGTGGGATTTTTGGCGATTTAATTGGTTTGGTTGGTTTTAATCCCAAAAAACATTTGCAAGTGTATATAAAACA